GTTCACTACACCACTCTCTTTCGCCGACGCTGAAGCGTCCTGTATATCTAAGAAAGGATTTCTGTCGAGCGCTAAAACATTGGAAAAAATCAGACTTGTTGGTTCATTATCACCTGCTAGCGAGATATGGATTGGATGTAACGACAGGGATACTGAAGGAACTTTTGTTTGGCTCGAGGACCACGCGAACGTCCGAGACCCTACTATCTTTTACCCAGGTGAACCAAACGACTACATGGGATCCGAGGACTGCTGCCGCGTGATGACGCTACACTCTCAGCTGTGGTGTACAGATGACATGTGCCCTAGTCAACACCCGTATGTGTGTGAGCGGTCAATGTATTAAATGTGTGTTGGGCACATTTTTAATGACCTAAGGCTGTAGTTGTTTTTTGTTGTTTTTTTTTAAAATCGATCTTCTTGTAACAAAGCTGACAGATCAATAAAAAAATCAATATTTATTTTGCTTTTATATATTTACTAGCTGCAAACAAAGAAACCGTAAAAATAATTAAAAATAAAAACTTCAGCCTAAAATTAATTCAGAAATTTTATATTTTTAGAATCAATGCTATAAAAGTTGCAAATCCAGAGAACTTGAAAATAATTTGCTGAGTTTAAGGCTACATTTCTATTTATTTTCATCAAGCTTAAGTTATAACTAGATGTTTCACTTTCGTAAGACACATATTGATTGGCTGTACAGGAACTCCGTGATCGATAACTATTTGTTTACAAAACTTTGCGGATTTAAATATCAATGCAAATTTAAACTCCATGACCTAGTTTTTCTTTTTTTTTTTTTGCTTACAATGTATACAATAAAATTTATGGCAGCCTATCAAATAGCTTGATGCCATTGTTTATGTCGCAATTACACGTGGAAACTAAATTGTTTTGCTTTTTTTTAATTTAGTTACCGAAAATATTAAAAACATCAAATACATACAATCTTTAGTAAAGTCCGAAAAAAAAAACAGCCAGGATTTTATAATCATTGTAATTGTAACTACGCCGTGTATGCTTTTTAAATTATGTAATGGGCCTCTCGAATACTTTCTGGCTCGCGTCCATTAGATCAGGTCAGGTAATCGTCACTACACATATCGATATTAGAGTTCCGGAAAGGTTTGAGTTTGAGGATTTGCTGCGATAGTGGCTACGATTAAAGTCAGTAAGTTTCGGTGGTAATAAAAGGAAAAATACCTGCAATTCTAGACATCAAAACTTTAAGACCGAAAAATGGGAGGTTTTAGTACTAGTTTAAGATTAAGTTAATTAACAGTTTTAGATGTAAATCCACATATGGATTAAAGCAATGTGAAAGTAATTTGACGAGTAAATAATGATTATAGTAGTTTAGCTAAGGCTTTTTCCTAAGTACAAGAAATGGTTTTGTTTTCAGAAATAGTATACTTGTTGTTTTGAGTAAATGAGAGTTTATTTATCATTTTTCTAATTTAATTGCAGTTTTCGTCGCTTTGCAACTTATTGTTTCCATAATTGTGTGTTAATAGATTTTCTAAATCATGAATGACGTACAACCAATAACTCACACAGAAAATCTACACCTGAATACTCTGTCGTGGCCAGGTAGTAGAACAAACCATAGGAAGTCCCCGAGTCTACCCAGCTCGAATTAATTTTAAGAAGTGTAAATACTACAGGTAAACTCTACTTCATCTGCAATATTGATCTTCAGTCCAATTAGAGTAATGTTTTACATTTATAGTGTAATAAAAAATGAAATTTTACTAAACTATAAACCTTATTTTTTACTTCCAGGTAAAATAAATTAAGCTAATGTTTACACTTTTTATTATTTAAACTGGGTTTAATTAAAACTTACAATAACTAATATCCTAACGTATGTGTAACGTTGTTCAAATTACAACTCGACATGGCCTGATAGTAGAGCTAACAACTACTATCGTGAATGTCCAGGGTAGGGATCCCTGGCTCAAATCCGTTGGATGTCTCTGACTTGATCCAACATCTGGTGGGTACCTGAATTACAATAGGAAGCAAAGGCGGATGGTCACGCTGATTATTGTAATACCCCTCTCTATGACGAGGTTGTTGAAATAGGTGAACTCTACTTTATATGCACCATGTCTGTTAAGCACAAAAGAGAAAAGATTATGAAAGACCTATTTACAAGAATTTATTTCTATAAATTATGAACACAATGTACCTCAGTTGCTACGCCGTAAATTTTGTTTATTCTTTGTAATTTTATTAAACTTCATCGTTTTTTTTTCTAGGAATCTAAGCCAGAATATTATTGGACATTGATCAGCTTAATATTTTAACAATGTGCATGTATATAATATTTTCTTCATTTTTTTTACCAACTACCAATCAAGTTAAGGCATTATATTATAGACCCTACCCATACCTTGCAATTGTAATAATTCAATGTGATCCAATAATGCATGGCATGTACTGTTGACTTGTAAGTTTTTATATTCTATAGCGATGAACGAAGGACGGAAGGAGGGAATGACACTCTACCAGCATAGTTATATTAGAGATACACAGCTTAAATAAAATTAAAAAACTAAGTCAAACGTATTTCAAAACTGTTTACTTATGTAGTATATATAAGAAAATTTAAGGATTAAGAACAAAATAAACATGAACCAAAAAGTAGTAGCGACACATGAGAGTAGCCGTACAAAGGTGACGCTTACATGAGTAAAATCATCTGCCTACTCACTCTTTTGAATAACCAAGAACCGACGCCTAAATCAAAAAGCAGATAATTAAATATTAATTGCGACAAGCAGCAACAACATTATTAACGATTTACTTGACGATGTAATCCGATTTGACAGTTTTATAAGAAATTTATGAATACGGGAATCTTTACACACAACTAATGTTTCATTCAGGGGAAAGTTTGTCTAGATTCTAGGATCTAGAGGATTTAAAATATTTGTTTTTAGTTAAAAACAAGAACAAATACATAAATAAAATGTATTATTGAGAGAAAAAACAGCAGCTTCTGCTACAACATTTAGTTGAATGAAAGAAGATCGTAGCAATATAAACACTAAATCTTTTTAGTACACATCTCTGTAAGCAATTGCTTCTTGACTAACTAAACTCGATGTATTGTTTTGTCACAAGCATTTAAACCGAAAAATAAAAACTGAAATATTCCCGTATCAAATGGTTAAATTTCAATCACTAGAATCTATGAATATTAATTAAGTACACAGTTATGGCATTTGCTTTTACCAGATACTAAAAACTGAACATAGATCTAATTCTTGCAAGTGTTAGTTTAATGTTCTAAGCATTTCATAATGGCAACACTCGATTTAACGCAACGTAAATCAAGATGTAATGCAGAGATCTTACTTCCTGATTGCTTCTCAAATAGAAATATGTTTGAGTGGAGTATCTACATGTCGAAGGTGTCGTGATGCGCGTTTACTCAAGGAGTTTTGTATTTGCTAGACGTTTCTTTATATATATTAGCATGCTGGTATCCGTTCAAATACTATTAGGCCTATTATTAGATGCCCCTTTTTATTTCCACACCATCTCTCTATATATATATATAATTCTCAACGTGGGGACCATGCGAGACACCACCAAGACGTACGCTCAACAGACCATATTGCCACCACCCTCACTCCCACCAGTCTGGTGAGCTGTTTACAATCGTAGTGACGACTATTAGGGGCAGATAATTTAGTTTTTAAACTATTTGAAACTAAGGGGAGATAATAACATGTTCTGCTTTCTCTTTTCATTGTCGTCTATAAACTGTCGTCACAGACGGCTGCTTTCACGGAGGGGGGGGGGGGGCTGAGGAGTGGAAAGTGAGGGTGCGGATAATCGTTCTTCGCGAGCTACTGATAGTGTAAGCAAAATATTTTGAGTCATAGTATTGGTAGTGTCAATTTCACAAATTATGAATTACTAAAAGAAGGGACTAAACTAAATAGCGGCGTATGTTACGCCGCGGTTCAGCTCGTTTCATTATATTAAACAAGATATTCAAAAAATAAAACAAAGTGCTAGAGTCATTTTACTTTGGCTACTTGTTGTATTGCTCTTTAACAAATTCCAGATTTTAGAAAACATCACAATGCATGTACCTTTAGTAACTTTTAAAAAATAGGTAAAAACATTTATGCACCGATGAACTTAACAAAAAATTGATTTTTATAACTCACACTATTTTTGGCAAGTATTTTAGGGTCTGGTAATTGATAATACTTTATTTAAAATGAGATATTTCATAAATTAGTCAGTTAAATGTTATGGTGATTTACAGGATAACAGAGGCGTAGCGATGGGGGGGGGGGGGGGCAGGGTGGGGACATATGTCCCCGTACGCCGAGCTTAGGGGGCGCCAAAATGGGTTGGAAAAAGTAATCGAAAGTTTGAGGGGGGTGAAAATCGAAAGTTTGAGGGGGGGGGTGCAAATCGAAAGTTTGAGGGGGAGTGCAAATCGAAAGTTTAAGTTTGTCCCCTGGCGCCGGGAAGGGTCGCTACGCCTCTGCAGGATAAACGGTTCACATTTTACAAAAAAGTTTTGAATGTTAAAATCACTATGACAATCACCTCGTATTATTTGAATTATTACATTGAGTAGCTATTAGAAATTAAAAATAAGGAAATATTTATAAAATTCCAATTGATTTTGCTTAGTTAGAAATGAAATTCTGTCTTCGGGTAACATTGACTTTTAGAAACATTTCTTTTCTGGTTTTAAGGCCTCCGTGTATTTATTTACTGGGTGTTGCATAAAACATGTTTTACTCGTTACTTCCGGGTTCAATTGATTTAACAAGCGAGTCAAAAGTAAATAGTTTCTTACCTTGGACTCGTAAAGTAAATAAAACATGCTCAATGCTAATATACATTAAGTTAAGTTAAGCTAGTTGAACAGAGTATGTGTACACTGCGGGAACACTCGAATTTAATTACATACCTGTCGAAATTTTAAAGTAGTTTAGCATAGGGTTGGTTGGCTATATAAACTTAGATGCTGTGGGAATGTAATCTGCGTGGCCGAATCGGGGTAAGTAAATCACTCATGGATATTTTCCTGCCGAATTTGTTTAATTTATATTAATTAATCACATCAATTATATAATATGCCGTGGTGCACAATTTTTGCTGATATAAAGATATAGCGTATTATCCATAGGCTTGAAAAGTCTTTGAAATCATACTAAATTTAAAACACCTTTCTGAGTCGGAAAAAAAAACTTAGTTTTGCAATTTTGCCTTTTTTCGGT